TAAAAATTTCCTATCAAAACTCCAAAAATTGATTACTCGGCAAATTTGCTAGCAAAAATATTTTAAATTTCCCTGGTAAATTTCCTGATTTTCCTGCAAATTTTTTGGAAAAATAAATTTGTCCCAGAAAATAAAATAAAAATAAATTTTTCATTAAATCTCCATAGAAAAATTAATTTTCACAGCAAATTTCTTGGGAAAAATATTTTATCCACAAAGAAATAAATTTTCCCTATAAAATTGATTTCTTGGCAAATTTTTGGGACAAAATTTTATGAAACTAGAACATAAATTTTCTTGTCATGTCTTCCGAACAAAATTAACTTTCCAGAAAAAAAATTTTTCAGAAAGTAATAAAAATTTTCAAAGGGAAAAATTAATTTCCCTGATAATTTTGGGAAAAAATAATTGTTTTCAGAAAATAAAATAAAATATTTTCCCATTAACTTTCCCTGGAAAATTGATTTCCTGGCAAATTAAAAAAAATAATTTTTTTGAAAAAGAGGTTTTCTGTCAAATTTCCTAGGAAAAATTTATTACCGAGCAAATTCTTGGGAATATGCGTTTTCCAGAAAGAAATAAAAAATTTTCCAGGAAAAATTGATTTCCTGGCAAATGTTTCAAGGAAATTTTTTTTCCAGAAAAAAATAAAAATTTTATTGGCCGAAAAAATTGAGAACAATAGTTTTTTTTCCCTAAAAATTAATTTTCTCAGAAATCTACTTACAAAAAATCTATTTCCCCAAAAAATTCCCTACAAATTTTTTTCTCAGGTAATAAAGAAATAAACCAGTAAATTTTTGTCGGTTATATTAATTTATCGTTGAACTGTAAAATTAAAAACTAGTAAAAATTTTAAAATATAGGCAGTAAAATAAAAATGAATGAATTTGCAAATTTTGTAGGTCATAGTCAATCGCCGTTTGTATTCGGGAAAAGTTGTAAACGTTTAAACAGATTTTGTTTAGAAGTATACAGCACTGTATTCTTAAATGGGTGTCATACGTCAGCTCACACCTTGGGCGTAGCTCTTTGCTGGAGCAGCTAGCTAGAGCCCCAATGGCATCTGTGTATAATTTACATTACTCTTTTTGTATAATTTATTGTAACACAGATCATTGCTGTGTCAATCCATGATGACATTAATAATTTGCATCAATGTGCATTACTTTTGCCAGCCTGTCAAAAGGCCTGTTAATAATGATCGGTTCAAGAATGTGACACCTTATAATGTTACATAAATCTACTGTACATGAACACAATAGTAATTGTATAATGTAGATAGGGTCAGTGTGTTGATCTCTTTCTCTCTCTCTCTCATCTATAGATATCATTTTTGAAAATCATGAATGATCTTAGTACACAGTCTCACGATTTGTCCAATTCAGAATTCAGTAAACTGAAAACTCTGAAAACTCCAAGGTTTTACATCACAAGTCCAAAAAACTGGAATGATATGCTTAAAACCAATAATTAGCTAGTGCTAAAGCAAGGTTAAAAGGTTTTTGCAACCAAATTTCATAACTTGACTATTTTAACTAAAAACTTTCTTTCAGACATAATGTAACTAT